GAGAGAGAGAGAGAGAGAGAGAGAGAGAGAGAGAGAGAGAGAGAGAGAGAGAGAGAGAGAGAGAGAGAGAGAGCTGATTCTTGAACTCGTTTTTCGGAAATTGAGGCGTTCACCAATCATACACTGGTTATTTGTTAATGAGTGCCAGCTCAATTCAGTTTGTGTCACTTTGTAGTATCAATCGGCTTCGCCTTGTGATTTATCCTTCCGTCACCACATCCAATTTTGTCCAATCATGCAAATGATGCAATTGTATTTTCAGCCGCGCCACCTTAATTCAAATCTCGTCACATTCGAGCAGCTATTGGCGTCGCCTTTTTGGGTTTTCCCTCTCGGCACATTCAAATTTTTCATTGTATTGGGTAATGCATAGGAACCGAATGTATGAATGCTCGTGCAGAAGGGGAGCTTTGCCGGGCCAAAGAATTGACAGCATTCAATGTCGGAATCACAAAGCACACAGTGCGGAGGGCTAGACGGGCCATCAAATGTATAAAGAAGCCCAGGTGTTGTATTTTTTTCTCTGTGACGCCTCACAACATTCAAAGTGAAAATGCATAGATGAGTGTAGACGACGGGGGAGGTTCGAGAGAGAGGCAGAAAAGCATAGAGTCAGTTCGAGTCCAGATGCATCCGAGTATGAGGGCAGAACATCACACCACACAAGGCACAAAATGACGAAAGCGAGATATTCAATGACGAAACAGGCGCCCCAACAACGGGAACGTTCGTGATAATTGAAATTCAATGAGAAAGAACAATATTGTCGACGACAAACACGCCGGGGACATGACAAGCTCACCCGGAGATATCCTGGCAGTGACAGCCAGTTCTGCTCTGAACCAAACCGAGAACACCCATCAGTCCCTCACGGAAAAAATGAAAAGGAACAAATTTCGTCCGGAGAAGAACGAAATGTTCTTCTACGTCAACCCTTCTACACTACATGATCAACAAAGAGATAGACGCTTACCTACCAACATCGTAAATCGCCAAAGCTAGTCTAGCTCTGATAGAGGAGATGTGTCTATGGGAGAAACCAAAAGGTGGACGTAAACCTCTCGCCAAACAGGAAGCGAACATCAACATGAACACCCCACAACTAGCCCCGTCGTGCTGCCGAGGGACACCTTTCACACTGACCTCGCGAGCGAAGTGGTCGAAAGTGCGACCATCACCGGCGGCACCTGCCACCGTGTTCAAAAATTTAACATTCTATCCAGAAGTGCGGAGTAGAAGGAATTTTTGGATGACGAACACGAGAAAAAATCATAGATTTTCAAAACACGTCTAGAGAAGTCAATGGCCAAAAGGCTCCAGTGTTCGCCGTCCTTGTGCACTGGTGCCAAGACGAGGTCATGAGATAGGAGGTCGACATCTTTAGCCCATTTGAGAACAGTTGTCGGACCTCGCAGAAGCAGTTAAAGGTGTATGTCTTCATGGTAGCGGCAGTCCGGCCGCAGTCGTCCAGTAGCATCGCCATGTAGAAATTGACAACCTCATCGTTGAGCTCCCTAGATCTATCCATGAGTGCGACGATGTCCTTGATGGATACGTGTAAACTGTGCGACGGCAAACGTGCGACAATGATAGTGAGCGGCAACCGGGAGCAGATAACGTCTTCAAGGACCGCTCTTCCATCTCGAGGAAACCCTATTCAACAAACACCCGCAGCACACAACAAGCACAAAGGACGGGGCACTATGAGAAAATGCCGTCCTAGCGGCCATGGTCCGAGGAACCGCTACTCTGTGCTTTCTACACACAGTTGATTCTACTTCTGGACCTTCTACACACAGTTGATTCTAAACTAGCACTGTCCTTTATATCCCTGCAAACCTCGAGAAGGAATTCCTTGCAGTCTTTTTCGACAACACCCGCTGCCTCTGCAACGAGTCTTGTGCGGGAGCCCAATACGGGCACGACTACCCTTCTGGGAGGGCCTCGAGGCTTAGTGTCCCCAGGAAACGCATTAGTGACATTGCGACGACCAGTGTCTCCCGCAACTAGGACTGACAACCTGGCGAGGGCGGGCGGCTCCTGCGACATGGGTGTTTGTCCACGAGTTCGTCGACCTGTATAAGAAATAGCCACCCAGAGAGTTCAGCAGGAGATCAACAACACAAGTTCGCAAGAGCAACCAAGCAAACAACACCTCACGAAGCACATCGGCACAATCCAGTTGGCGGCCGCCTATACACCTCCCCGAAATCGACGAAGCAAACAACACTTCACGAATGGGCTAACGAGCGGAAAGAAAGCAGAGAAAGTCAGTGCTTACCAGGCCTAGCTACCACTTCACTAGAGCCCACGGACGGCAGTCCCAGCACGATTGGCACCCATGCACGCGTCGACACGGCGACGACGTGCTCCAAACCCACAGGGAAACTTGACAGGCTCGAGATGTCGGCATCGATGACTGTAGACGGTATATTCGTCTCCGGACAAAGAGCGTCGACGTCCACAACATCGACAGGTTGTGTCTTCTCCATTGTCACTGTGTCGTATTGTGTTGGACTCAATATCCCATGGATGTCCAACAACACCTCTACCCCCCTTAACTTCTTATCCCCGTACGCTGTGTCTTTGTCGTCGTCACTCAAATAGAGAAATCTATCTCCAACAGCGTCAGAGGCCTTCTTCAGAACGTCCTCACCCATTGCCTCGTTGTGAAGGGCGGAGTACAAGGGATCGTCGTATCCCGGCTGAACTGGTAGCTCCATCCCGACGTCGCTATCTGTCGGATCAAATTGGTCGTCGGCGGAATCGTCCTTGTCCAAAGTCGTCAGTAGTCGACAACCCTCAACGCCTGCCAGTTGAAGTCCTTCGTCCGTGTGCCTAAGATGAATCCGAATCACGGTCGTCTCCAAAGATGCATCAGGGAGGGACATGTTCACAGGGCCCTGGTTCGGATTCATCCGAGCCCCCGCAGTTTCCAATCATGCCGACATGACCGCTTTCACCGGGGAGTCGCTTACGACTGCTAACTCGGCTCCGAGTGTGTTAGGCTCGACATTGGAACAGGTTGCCAACTCACCCTCAGTCGGACAGTCCGCCTGCAGCTCCTTGTGGGCTTCCACGCACAGCATTACTGCATCTTGACACCGATCGTCTGTCATGGCAGACACGACTTCCTGGTTCAGATGAATCCGAATTTCGTCGCCAAGGTTTTCGAAAACCCAGACCACCCGTTTGAGTTCTGTAAATAGTTGTGCTCCCTCGATGGCACGGCCTTCGCGGTTCGGATTAATCCGAACTTCCTTTTGAGGCGAAACGGAACACGGTTCCAGCTTGTCGCTGCCGCACCCGTGGTATGTTGTCGTCTCGCTTCCCGAAAGGCACTGAGTTCCGGACAACGACGTCGTCTCCGAGGTTCCGATTGATCCGAGACAATCCGCCAACCGTTTTTGGAGTTGAGCGAAGCATGTTCCATGCTTTGCGACACCCGCCCCGCCAACCGCATCGACAAACTGTGTTTCGCTGGTGGAGCTAATCACAGGGTCCTGCTCGCCAGGCCGCGTAATACACCCAGGCCTCAAGTCGTTCCCCGTCTCCATTGAGGTGCTGCCTGTTACCGCCAGAACCCCATCTTCCTCGTCGCGGTCGACATCGTACCCCTGCCCGTCTCCTCTGTGATGCTTCGTCTTCTCTCCGCTGTGAGGCTTTTTCTTCTCCCGGCTGCCCTTCTTCCCCTCTCCGCCGCCTGCGTGCCCCGGAGACCCCTGTTTCGTCGAACGCTGTTCACTTCCACCTCCGGTACCTCGTTGCCCGCCGCCTTCACCATCCCCGTCGCCGTCCTTTCCGCGAGACTTGCGCTTCACAACTCCTGCCGGTGGGGTGACCTCAGGCAACTCCCAACTCACTTGCTTAATTGACGGGCTTGACGGAAGGGTGTATAACGCGGAGGACACTTCTTGCCATTTATTTGACTGCAATAACTCGAACAGCGTGTCGCCGTATTCGCGAAGAGCAGGGTCGTCCTTACTTCGTCGATTGACCTCACTTAATCTCTCCAATACCGCATCGTAGGCGCGAGATTCGAATGTCTCGAGGTCCCAACGATCGTCATATATCCACCCTCCACTTACGTCCCTCACAGCCACTGCCCATTCGCCGTCGAGAAGGACTGGCTGGAAATGGTATGGGTGCCACACGATATCATGGCCCCAATCTTCGGTTGTGGAGAAGGTGTGTTTGTCGCTCATGTGGAAGGGAGTCGCAGGAGCCTTGAGATGCGGATGGTCCGGAGGAACTGGACGGCCGGGTCGAAGACGTTCGGGCTGCGGCGTGAGACGAATAGGCTCCCCCTGCGAACCCCTCAGACGGGACAACCCATCCCTCTTGACAGGCGCTGAGGAGGACAAGGGCGTGGGACCGCCCGAGGTAGGTGTAGCGAGAGGTGTCCCCGGTTTGCATACTGATGGCGACTCAGAAACTTGGGCGTTGAAGATGACCAATTGCCCGTCCAAATCGAAGAGGTCGTCCTCAACGCTCTCCTCCTGCTCAGTCTCGATATTGAAGTCGTCCTCCTCACCGAATGCCATCTTGTACTTATCCAAAGTGAAGTTGGCCGGATCGACAACATCCTCGTTAAAAAAGACATATTCCAGCCTCTTAATGAAGCTCACAGCGCCGGCCCGACTCGCTCCATGGTAGCCCTGGAGGACCGCAATAGCGACTTTCTTCCGCACCACGTACTGCGGGCCAAATCTCAACCTTGGTTGTTCACCGTAAAGGAAGGAGTAGACCTGGCGCCTTTTCTTCGGAGTCAACTTGAAGAACATGTCCTTGTTCGGGTCATAAACAGGCTCGACGACGACATGGTGGAAATCGCATGGGTAAGCCTTGGACAACACTTCATGGGTGACATACTGCATGGTGTATTCGAGCTGCGTTGTGTCCCCATCCACGGCCAAGACGTCCCTTCCCTGCTGAAGCAGACTCCACACCACCTGCGCGTGCGGCTTGCCCAAGAACAGCACGGCATCCGCCACACCATAGAAGAAAAGAAGTTGATTGCACAACTGATTCGGATTCCGCTCGCCGTCCTTGTACAGAGCCCCCCTCTGGGTGAGGTTTCCGATGTCCGCGAAAGTCAAGGACTTGAAAGATTTCTCCTCCACATCCGTGGGTGTCACTTTTTGTTTCCTCCGGAGAGCGCAGCGTCGTCTTCAACAACAGCTCCCTCGTACACCGGGTGAGTCAGTAGCCGAGGAACCTCGCCTTTAAAAAGGATGTGCATCACATCCGGCTCCTCCCAGACGCTGTTTCCGAACTAATGCGTCTTCTTCGATGCCGTCTTCCGAACCTAATTCCCCGTGGAGCATCAGGTAGCCCCAAGCGCAGACAAACATGTCATGAAGGAGAGGGTCCACAGGCAGGGGACGAATACCACCAATGTCCAGTAGTCCTAACAAACGAAGCCCAGCAACTCACTCAGAGACGCGAATGCCCCAGTCCCATTGCGCACGGTCCACAGTACCGCATAAGTCGAGCACGCAAGTGTGGGAGCGTAGCTGATGCCCTAGTTTTCCCAGCACCTCCTTATGATCTATGACACTCAATGGGTCGACGTTAAACTGGGCCAGCGTCGTCAAGGCGCTTGTCCTTGTCCACATAATCTTGATGCATTCATCAACGCCCCGAGGGCTTTTTTTGCCTTTGGCGCGATCTCCAGTGATTACCGAAAGGACGACACGCTTCCACTCCGCCGGGAAATGCTGGTCGTTGACGAGGGCCGTCGTTCTCTTGATGTTGTTGTCGTGTTGACACCCGAGAAACTGAGGGCACTTGTTGACGTATGTGGTGTCTGTGAAAAATTTCCTGCTCTCGTTCCAAAGCTTGTCGTCGAGACCTCTATCCTTGAACTCTTCGAACAGTTGCTTCTTGGACCTGAAGAACGTGGAGTTGGCATTCCACTCCCGCTTATCTATTTCCTCGTACTTGAACTCCACGTAGTGCCACAGCCTCAGCATAATCCGGTCTATTTTTATTATGTTGACCATCTCCTTGACACTGAACTTCCCCTGCTCGGCCAACTTCTTGCTACTCGTTTGAAGCCACAAGACGTTAAGGTTCAAGACGCCGTTCAACAGCCTTTTCTTCTCGCGGTCCGTCAAGTCCACCATTTCTTTCCCGCAGTGGACATCCAGCTCCGGAACCTGGACGTAGAAAGTTTTCTCCTCCGCGCCTTTCTTTGGCTTCCCCCTGCCCTTTTTCAACGACGGGTCACCCACCTTCACGTACCAGACGTGTTTCTTCAGCCCCTGGCTGTCAGTCACTCTGGAGAGTCCTGGCTTGGCCACCTCCTCACGGGGGGGCGGCTTTTCAATCCAATGCTGGTCGTCGAAAGCAAGGAGTTTCCCTTTCGACCACTCCTCATAGAACTTCAACCCCAAATCGAAGACGGAGTCATCTGCTATGGCCAGCGGGAGGTAGTATCGAAGTTTCTCAGCCCGTTCCTTTCTTTTCTTTGCTTCCGTTGACAGGTTCCAGATAGGCGTGTACGGCGTCTTCTACATTGCCAACGCCATGAACCGCACCCACTTTCGCACCTCGTCCTGTTTCTTCGAGGCATTGCCGAGCACCACACGCGGTTTGCCCTTAATTTTCCAGATATTGCGAATGTCTCGCATAGACAAAACCTGCAAGCGCGGTGGATTCTTCTTGTCTTTCATGTTGTCTTCGCAGCTGGCATGGGCGTAGTCGTCGAACTCGTCGTCAGGGAAGTAGATCGGTCTGAACGGCCATTTACAGAAGTTGTAGTAATCAAACACGGGATGGTATTTCACAATCATCGTCGCCCTCGCGTTATGCTGTCCACACACACGATAATACCTGTATTTCTCCGGGTGTGAGCTGTCGAAGTCAGCAGGCAGCACGCGCACCGCAGGCTCGCCGTTCCCTGGAGGCGCGACGATCGGAGCGAGAACGAAAATGGGCTTCGTGTATCTCATGTCTTTGCGTTCGTAGCAGTCGATCATAGCCGACGCGATGGTATCAACGAGGAACTCGTCCAAGGATCGGTGGTTGTACGCGTCTTCCCAGTCAAGAATAGCTAATATTCTTTCGGGATGGATGTGCAACACGACGTCCTTCCGCACCCCTCTCTGCATCTCGAGGAGGAACGCATTGTCGAGGTTAAAGGCATTGAGGTTAATCTTCATATCGTCATCCCCCTCCCCGCTATCGCCCTCGTCTGCTTTCTTCCCCCTTGATGATTTCGAACATTTCCCGGAAGACTCACCGGTTTTTCGCTGTGTCGACAAGTCTTTTGGCGTTTCATCCCCACCTTCAACCCTTTTCCTCTTCTCAACGGAACCGCCCTCTCGTGTTGTTGGCGTCCGAGCACTCCCTCCTACCTTTCTATGCCTTTTCAGAGCACCTACTCCCTCTCGCTCTTCCTCATCCGGCAAGTTGCGCTTTCCTCCCGACTGAGTCTTTTCAGCCGATCTCTCACGGAACAGCCCCTGCTCGGACACCTCCTCCTCACCAGCAACGTTCCCACTTGCTTCTCGTTCCTGGCTCAACTCCGTCTGCAGTTGCGCCGGCGCTGGTCGGGCCCGGCGAGTCGTCTCATCTGACCCACGCACCTCTCGAACCTATGGACCACCCGCTCGATCTCCAGGCAAAAACCTCGGCCACCTGCATGCCACGAACGAACGAACCGATCATTTCGACCAGACCACGAGGAGTTGTCGATTCTGAGCCCTGTCGCAACCGTTTGCCATCGCCGCCTCCATATGGCAACGACTCCCCAAGCAAACCGTGGCGGCGAGATACCTGCAAGCCCGGTTTCAAAGGAGCATGCGGATGGTCATCCTCCGAGTCGTCTGACATGCCCACCTCTTGATCAGGAGGCGTAGCTGGCAGGCCACCCTGACCTCCCATCCCCCCTTCAGAGCACTCTCCTCCCGCGAACCCAACAGGACCACTGATCGATGTTCCAGGTCCGACGTCCACGGCACTGACAGAGGTACCAGATTTCGCCCAGACCTCGAGGAAGTCTGTGACGTGAACGACCTCGTCGTGCCCCGGCGCTAGCGGGACAAAGTGAGGCAAAGACACCGCACGACGGCCGTACCCGCCGAACATCCTCCCGGCAACCTTGCATCCCTTTGCGATGCCATCGACAGAACCATAATGCTTCTTCAACGTACACTTAAAATTGTATTCGCAGTCGTCGACCCACTGGACGATGGACCCTGTGAGACGCGTTCTGTCGGCGCGAACGGCGACGAACAAGAGCGGCCCGCACGGTGGTTGCAAAGGGTCGGAGCCGTCCTGGCTCGCCCAGTCCAAATACCAGACACAGTTGCTGTAGTCGCACCACAAGTTTTGAGCACGTCTTTCTTCCTCCCCACCTCCAACTCCCCAACTCGTTTCCCTTGCCGGCGACGACGTCGTCCCTCGACGCTTCTCTCTATGCGGGGCGGAACCACTAGCGGAGCGGCCTCGTCCATGTGAAGCCATTCCCTGAAACACACGGAGGAAATGAACCCACATTCACTCAGAACAGTCAGCACCTCTCAACATCAACCACGACCCACAACACGTATTCTGTTATCGGTCACCCGGACTCCAAAAGAACGAAGTTCAGTCATAGTTAGACGACAGTAGTCCACAAGCCTGCACGTTTCGGATGAGTCCGAGGCATCGTGAGGCATCCTCGTCACACTGCCCTTAAGAGAATGAATGGTCGAAAACGAAGACCGGGGGATAGATCGGATACATCGGAAGCAGGCGCAGTCGAAAAACCGATGTCGCATAGGCACCTGCACCGGGAAAAGCAACACCTCGCAAGAAGGCCCTAGAACGCTGATACGGCAGACGAAGACGAATACGTTGTCATCCGAAGTCGACAAGTGGATTGTAAAGTCCGCTGTTGTAGTTCGGATGAATCCGAGCTCCAAAGCGGTGTGGACCACCCCCTTTCGGCCCGTACGAAACCAAACTCAAGTTTTCTTGTCCTTCTGAGACGGTAACGGTTGTGACTCGGATGCATCCGAATTCGAACAGCGCGGTCTAGAGACGGTCATCCACAAGAGGTCATCTACAACACGTGTTTTCGTCACCGACCTGTGAGCACTGGGTTAAACCTATCCTGCCAGAGGTTCGGTTTGGTTGAACCTGAACTTCGCAGATGTGGCTCAGATTAATCCAAGACTGGGACCCACGGTATGTTGACGCCCATCCAGCCATCCAAGCTTCCGTTATTTTCAGCGGTCGTTGGGTCCAACCGAATTTCGCACGGTGTGTCTTCGTCCTTGAGTGTTTAAGACGTCTGTGGCTCGGATTTATTGGATTTCGACAGAGGCTGTCCCGATACGTGCAACCAGGACAGGCTGCGCCGACACCGTGTGCGTTCGACGTACAAGTTTATCAGACCGTGTGACGTCGTCAATACCCTCAGCACATGTGGTAAATCCGAAAATGCCACCGGTGTGGTTCGGATTAATCCGACTTCGTTGAGGCGCTTCGCTTTGTTGTCGCCCCACCACACACCGGACCTCCCCGCGATTGTCGTAGTGTGTCATTATAATTTGTGCGTCAGCACGGGGGATATCGTCGTCGTGGTGAGTTTTAGTTGGTTGTTGCTCGCCCAATCCAAACAACAGACACGTTTGCTGTAGTCGCAGCACAAGTTTCGAGCTCGTCTTTCTTCCACCGAGCGTAACCATCTCGACTCGTTTTAGTTGCGTGAATCCGAGGCATCGTTGACCCTCGTCATCAGACTCTCCTTCGTAGAGCAAATGGTCGAAGACGAAGACAGCGTGGTAGTTCGGACACATCCGAACTGGGCAGAGTCGAAAGACCGACGTTGTGACTCAGATGCATCCCAATTAGGCCGACCACAAGAGGAGGACATCGGCACAGCGTGTTTTCCTCAATGACCTGTGAGCAGAGGGTGGACCGTATCCTGTCGGAGGTGTGGTTCGGATTAATCCGAGACGGAACGGTCTTTTGACAGCGTGTGATTTCGTTGTTCACTTTTATTGTAACGTGCGGCGTCGTAAATACCGTCTGAGCATGTAACAAACCCAAATTTGTCGTCAGTGTGGTTCGGATTAATTCGAACTTCACCGAGGTGCCTCGGTTAGTGGTCGCCTCGTGAGTTTTAGTGGGTTGTGGCTCGGAGCAACCGAAATTAACAAGGGTGGCTCGGATACGTCAGTTGTTGCGCCACCACAAGATGCTATGGACAGGGTGGGCTGTCGTCCTCCTGGTTGGTCAAACATGTTGTCGTCAACAATACCTTATGAGCATCTGATCGCTCCGTGTCCTGTCCTGTGTCCAAGTCAGCAGAACGGTTCCTCGCGGCGTTCGGCTGACCCGAGGTTTGATAGGGTTTAAAGATTTGAATTCACGTTCGCCTCCTGTGTCTTCGAATCTGTCGTAGCAGTCTTCGGATCACTGATCTGTGATTGCACTCGGGGGGGGACCAACCTAAGCTCGGTTGAGCAACTGTCTGTGATACACAAAGATTAGAGAAAGGCAGAAAACCCGCATAGACACGGAAGGGAGACTAAGATTGATAGAGACGTCGACAAGGAGAGGATGCGCAGCGAGAGAGCCTGTCTTTAGCTCTCTGTCTCTCCATGTGAAAATCCTGCGGATGGTGTTGTCCATTTCGGAATTCGCAATGTGACCCGTTAATAAAACGGCACAAAAGAAATATAAGAAAAAATTGTTCGTGTAGGCGAGAGGAAGATTGGCGAAAAATGTGAAAAATTCGACGAATGTGGAGGACATTTTACAGATACAGAACCGAACGCCGAGCGAACTGCACGACGCGACTCACGCGGGAAACGCATAAACAAACCGAGCGCAATAAAAATTAATTCGGCGTGAAGAAAGTCCATGTGCAATCATGAAGAGACACGATTTGTGAGAAACCATGTTCTCGTGTTCGACAACATACGACTGAAATCCTTATATCGCAGTTCGTGAGAGAGACAACATATTGACGACAAGCGAGTAACACTTCAAAAAAACATCTGAAGTGACGACACAATCTCGAAGGGCGTGTCACAACATTCTTGGGCTGCATTCGCGGGTCCCGTTTCGTTGGTGACCACTCGCCCCAATCAGATGGCACACTCACATGTCCATGTGACAGCTCCTAAACATGCATGGCGACGATCAGATAGAGCCCCGCATCCATCAGCGTGGCCACGCTTGTTCAGGACGTGACACGTAGACGTCTGAGTGTGCCATCTGATCGGTGCGAGTGATCGCCAATGAAACGCATGCATTCTTGCTGCCGAAACTCCTTCATCTCGCCCCGATCAGATGGCACACTCACACGTCGGCATGTCATGTCTTGAACATGCGTGGCCACGCTGATGGGTGCGGGGCTATATAAGAGCCTCGCATCCATTTTACTGCCGCATAGAGCCCCGTTGTCGCATAGAGCCCCACATCCATCAGCGTGGCCACGCTTGTTCTGGACGTGACACGTGGACGTCTGAGTGTGCCATCTGATCGGTGCGAGTGATCGCCAATGAAACGCATGCATTCTTGCTCCCGAAACTCCTTCATCTCACCCCGATCAGATGGCACACTCACACGTCCGCATGTCATGTCTTGAACATGCGTGGCCACGATGATGGGTGTGGGGCTATATTGGAGCCTGGCACCCATTCTGCTGCCGCATCGAGCCTCGCGTCCATCAGCGTGCACACGCTTGTTTCGGAACTGACACGTGGACGTTTGACTGTGCCATCTGATCGGGGCGAGTGGTCGCCAATGGAACGAGATCCGCAAACACACCTCGAGGTAAGTTCGAAAAAGTAACAGGCCAACGCATAAGACGAACGAAATAGAGGCGCTAAAGAACAACTAACGACGGGGACGAAGATGGTAGTTGAACACGACGGCACACACATCCACGTGTCAAGTCCTGATCCGCATAGAGCCCCGCATCCATTAGCGAGCCCACGCTTGTTCAGGACCTGCCACGTGGACGTGTGAGTGTGCCATCTGATCGGGGCGAGTGGTCGCCAATGGAACTAGACTCACGACATAGAGGCACTGATAGAAAACTGACGACGATGGTGGTGGAACACGGCGCTGTTGGTTCTGTCTCGTTCATTTGTCTGCGCTTGGCCGTTACGTTTGCTAACTTTGTGCGAACGACACAGACAAGCGCAGTGAACCAAACGACATAAAAGACAGAAAGAGAGATAAAGAGATAGCGAGAGAGAGAGAGCGCGACAGAGAGGCGATCTCCGCCTTCATCACACGGCCCAATCAAACGTCACGATCAAATGGCCCCGAACGTCATAGACTCCCTATCACACATCGGACTCACGGACAGAAATCACTGTTGGATCACACGACACTGCTCGTTCGCGGCGACTGAACCCAATGTTATCGCCACCGCTCGAATCTCGACTACAGATCACGTACATGTGTGGGCATTCTGACGGTCTACGCAAACCCAGCATGGCAGGACTTTTCAGGTCGGTGGAGATGGAGAGAGAAAGAGAGACAGAGAGAGGGAGCAAGAGAGGGGGAGAGAGAGAGAGAGAGAGAGAGAGAGAGAGAGAGAGAGAGAGAGAGAGAGAGAGAGAGAGAGAGAGAGAGAGAGAGAAAACCCACCTTTTCTTTCCTCGATTTACAACTGTTGTTGGAAACAATGGCCCCGGCGACTTGGTTGATGATCTCAAACCGCAATACGAGGACGCGTGTCGCGACGCGCGAAAAGGGAGGTGCCGATGTGTGAGAGGGCAAAACCACGAATGGAGACGTGGGAGATTGCGACGCGAAGGAGATGGCGAGGCGAGGGATATGGTGACGAGGGAGAGAGAGAGAAGCGATCCAAATGGCAGGGGAGACGGCGACGAGATGGCTGTGTCGCTGGCAAGGGCGGGTGGTCCGGGCGCGCGACGGGCATTTTCGGCCGTGAGGGTTGGCGACACCTGCGATTGCCTGCTGCTTCGGACGATTGCAATGCCCACCTGCAAATTCGCGGAATGGCGCCACCGTCATTCGAATGGCGGATACATCCGCGCGGGGCCCAAGAAACGAAAGTGGGCGGGAAAAGTCACGTCGGATGACGCATTGGAACCGTCGATATCACGGTAAAATCCGCGCGGGCCCCGATAATCAAAAGTGGGCAGGAAAATTTGCGCAAGATGATGCGTTGGGACCGTCGATAGCACGGTGAAAAAAGGCCAGTCCTCTCGCAATCACGGCCCGCCCTCCCACGACGGTTTCGGACCGTGCGATTTCGTGAGGAGGGTCCGTCAAAAAAGGGACCGCCTGATATTACAGCCCCCGATGCGAGAGTACCTGCGGCGGGCAGCTGAAGGGCCCCTCAAGCCCCGCTCACTGCACTCTCCGTTCTCCTGTCGGGCACCAAACGAATGGGGGTGGCTGTCACACCCGTTCGCTGGTGTCATTTCTTCTGTGTGCTGCCTTCGCGACGCGTCCGCCATCGCTCGAAGTCGCCTGCATCATATTGCAGGCCCCTTGCGCATCCAGGCCCTCGTTCTTCCAACAATCGTCGATAGCCGCGGGCGCTAACAAAAACGTC